GGCTACAACCAACACATCTGAGCACAAATCCTTTGTTGAGAAACACCTCTTAACATGTTTCTGGGAATATACGAAAGGACCTGGTTTGAGTGAGGTAAAGAGGGAGTGCCCTCACTAACGGGACCTCAAAAACTAAACTGGCAAGCTTTCCTAATCTTCAGAAACTCAGAATAAGGTACATTTCATCTTAACTAAGGTAAGACATAACTTTGGCAAAATCATTTTCCTGTTTTCAAATACATTAAGTAAAAACACAAGCAAGCACCTATGGATCCCCCTCCCCCCCACCACTCCACCAAGTTATCACATACTTTGTCACACAATTACAACATACAACTTAGAAGCTGTGAAAACACAGGCTAACAATCTAAGCATCAACTTCCAACTGCAGGACTAAGCCTCAGTCTCTTTTTAAGTTAGGTTCAATTGTTTAAGATTACAGAATCAAATCTGAATGTTCAGCCATGAGTGACTCTCCATCTTCTGAAGGACCTCTAAGGCACCCTGTGCATGACTTGTCCTTGTCCACCTTCATCCCTGAGGACCTTCAAACACGGCCACTGCTCTCACCCCTCTCAGTTATTCAAAAGCTAAGCAAGATCATGAAATGTCCTAGCCCTAACAGTGTCTGTGACAACTTTCATTACTATTTAGCCAGAACTCACTCATGGGGTAACATAACATAACCATTTCTCATTCTCCCTGAGATAAACAGGAACACGAGCCACACGCTTCACACTGACGATAACACCAGAACCACAGGGAAAAGGGGGAGCCCCTAACCAGGGAGGAGGGACACATTCCTGGGTGCCCCCACCACAGATGGGATCTCATTGATGGGTGGGAGGGATTTCATTGAGGGGTTGGAGGGCCGCTACTGAAACTCACCAAGCATGGCAGGTTCCTGGGTTCTGGATTCAAGCAAATGCAATGTTTACAGATAGAGACTTAGAAAATAAATATGTAGAACTACTGACTTTAACAAACTAGATTGGATCTGGTTTTGACCCTGTATGACCTCTCAAGTCCAGTTCCTTGCCTAGAAAACAGCAGTAACAGCATCTTCCCTTCCTCACAGGACACTGTAAGGTGATGTGGAGAAGAGCACTCTGATACAGAACGTTACAGATCATTTGGTTGATAACCGTATTCACCACCAGCTTTCTTTAAATAAGCTTCCCTATTGCATTTAAAGGGATTCACGTCATAAAATGTAATCACAACTGCTTAGAGCCACTTATACAGCATAGGATGAAATATAGTTATGTTCAATTTTCAGAATGTAGTTTTTCTTTTCCTTTTTAGCCCAGAGACAGGGTCTCACTCTCTCACCCAGGGCAGAGTACAGTGGCATCATCATAGCTCACTGCAGCCTCAACCTCCTGGGCTCAAGCGATCCTCCTGCCACAGCCTCCTGAATAGCTGGGATTACAGGATTATACTATTACACTAAGCTAATATTAAATTTTTTTGTAGAGAAGGGGTCTCACTATGTTGCCCAGGCTGGTCTCCCACTCCGGGCCTCAAGCAATCCTCCTAAGTCTCCCTAAGCACTAGGATTAAAGGCATGAGCCACCACCCTGGCCTGTAGTTTCAAAAAACTTTATAAACAGCCTGTTGTGTGCAAATTTTGCAATAAAGCTGACCAAAAAACAAAACAACCAGTCTACTGCTTGCCTGGATATTTGTCTTATACTGTTAAATCATGAATCTCTGCTGTTGAAAGACAGGATATGCTATTTTAACTTGGACATATTAAATAGAGAAGTTTCCAAACCACTCAACTAACTACATAATGATAACATGAAGTCCCCACTTCTTGTAAGTGTGCCAAGTAAAGGAAGACCTCATCTGTGAGAAAGTGTTAAGGCTTCAACATAATACAAGGAAATGCTGCTTTAACATGAGGCCAACAAATTCTGTGCCACTCTGGGGCTGCTGCTTCAGTGGGGTGAAAGATATTGTTTTTCCTTCCTCTTGCTACCCTGCTTTGCAGCACATTCCCTATTTCTGCTTCATCTCTGCGTAAGCTTCCCAGCCTTCAGTGACTTCTGTCTCTCAACGGTGGCAGTGATACTTATGGCTCGGAGGTGCTGCTTGACCTTAGGGAGTGCTGTTTGCAACACCCATGCCCCCTGATGAGCAGCATCCTGGCTGAGCAGTGCCCCAGTGTTGGAGGGGGCACTCTTCTCTCAGCTCACCGCCACCCCCCACAGACATATCTAAGTGACACTGGTGGCCCCACAGGCCAGTCTCCACAAACATGCACTGGAGTTCAAGTAGCTCCTGTTTCTCAGGCTGCCAGCGTCTCCTCCTCCTTTCAACCCCTCAGCTCCCAGAGGTCCCCTCTCTCAAATCTGATCACAGGCATTGGGCACATACCCTGCTCCACTAGGCCAAATTTTCCCCTGGGAGCCTCGGAGACACATCCCCTCACTAAAAAAAGATTAAGTCCCTCAAGAATGTTATTCTCTGGTCTGTCCCACCTAATGAAATGTCTCCAGCCCTTTAACGACTGGGGTCATTTATTTGTTTAATATACATCCCTAAGATCGCTAACCATCTCATTACTTGATTTCTTAGACTAGTAGTTAAACCAGACTCCCGTGGTTTTTTTTTTTTTTGGAGACAGGTTCACTCTGTCACCCAGCAGGGAGAGTGCCGTAGCATGATCTTAGCCCATTGCAACCTCTGCCTCCCAGGTTCAAGCGATTCTCATGCCTCAGCCTCCCAAGTAGCTGGGATTACAGACACCTGCCACTATGCCTGGCTGGCTAATTTTTGTATTTTTAATAAAGATAAGAGTTTTGTCATGCTGGCCAGGCTGGTCTGAAACTCCTGGCCTCAAGTGATCCACCCACGTCCACCTCCCAAAATGCTGAGATTACACACATGAGCCATGGTGCCTGGCCCCTTGTTTAATGTGCTTGATCATGATTCATTCCTTGGTCCTCCACACTTACAGACCCTTTCACAATAGTGTGATGGTGATGAATGGTAACCCAGGACCCAACTTAAGTATGATGCTGATTTTCTACTTTGGATTAAATTGGAGCCATCTCAAACTGACTTTTGTTTCCACAAAAGAGCCCCTGAGCCTTGCAAGGATCAAAATTGGAAAGGAAAGGGGAAAAGGTGAAAGTGTGGAAAATCCTTTTTGATCAACTTTGTTCTTTACTAAGTAAACAATTTTGTTTTTTATTAAGCATCTGGCCATCCAATAACGGAAACTATCAAAAAACCTATCCTTTGGGCTCCATCTTGGAAACAGCTGGATGTACACAGGACAAAGCTTTCTGTTAAGTCTTGTGTTACTAATTGTCCTGCTTTTTAAGACAAAATCTACAACAAATTCATTCAACAACAGCAAAGCTACAAAGCCATCCAGGTTACCAGTTTCAGCAGACGGCCTTCAAAGCTGAACTTGCCTCGTATGACCTAGGTACACCTCACAGAAGTGAAGATTCTTCACTCAAACACAGCAAAGTTAATGAAGCAACAGAGATCTGTTTCGCAGTACAGATCTCTTAAACTATTGTTGTTTAAGGGACTTAAAACTATTGTTGTTTACAGATTTCTCACTTCAATAAGTTCATTTTATAAGATTAATGTCAAACTCAACTTTTAATCAGCTAAAAAGAAAAGCATTATTAGTGATTTTTATATACCACGAGCATCATTTACTTCTCCCCACTGTTTAAGAAATTTTAACTAGATAAGACTCTCCGCGTGATTTTTAAAAATAGTTTTTCACTTCTACATTAATATTAAATGTCGCTTATCAAAACTTGATTCCAGGAACTGTAGTCAAACTTAAGACACAAAATTCAAGTTTTGTTTCAACAGCAGAAGGAGATTTCTGAATATGCTAGTGGTCGGTCACAGAAATATTTCCACAAGTTGAACAGCTGTGTCTAGTGCAAATCTGAAGGCAGCAATGTAATTCAATTTGGACTCATTCATTAGAAACTGACTTTCAGACGCTGCCACTGCAAGACTACTGGAGAAATGCAAGCTGCGTTGGAGACAGAATTGTTCGCAGCGGCACACAAGTTTTTGCCGCAAAGGAGAGAGCGCTGAAAGAGGAAATACAACTAGTTCATGTTACCATGAACCAGCGCAGTAGGACCCAGAATTACTGAATGAATAGAAAACTAAAATACTACTCTTAAACAGCTATGATTACTTAAGAAACTTTCCAGGGAAGCTGTTTAATGAGAGGAAACAAACAAAAAAGATGATTTATTCCGTATCTTGGTACATTTTTTAGAAAAATTGGAATTCCTACATTCCTTAATTTTTTGTACATCTACACGGTGAAAGCAACAAACTCAAATGGTGACTGCAGCCTAAATGAATTTAAAATCTGCCGTTTAACTTTCTTCTGAAGTTATACACGGAAATGAAACACAAATGACTAGTTGACAAAAAAAAAAAAGAGTTTTGAAAATAAGCACTAAGCATCCTTCCAAGGAACTCACTCATTCCTAACTTCAGTCCTAACTGGAAAGCTGGCGGCTACTCTGAGTGTCCTCTGACTACTGCAGCCTGGTCAATGTGTAGCCAATCCAGAAAACACATCGCGCTACCTTTGGCCGCGATCTTGCTTTCTCTAAGCATCAAATGTACCCTCCGCTGTCATTCCTCTGGACAGCCACGCGTGTGGACAGGGCCGTGGAAGGGTGCGTAGGGCATTACCAAACAAACCCACACGCTACACTTTACTTCTTCCCTCCTGGAGTGCCACTCGCGGCCCCGTGAGGAGGGCTGATCGGGTGCGGGTAGGCCGAGTGCATCCGGCATGTGCTGCCCCAGTCGGGCCCAGTGACAGTCCTGCGACGAACTTCCACCCTCCGGCGCGGGGCGAGGGGAACCGGCTGCCGGGCCTGCTCCGGGCTCCCGGCTCGGTCGGTCTCCGCGACCACGACCCCTGGGCACTCTCTTTCGGACAGGGGTAACAGCGCGCCCCGGGATCCCGCTGCCCCGGACCCCCTCCTCACCTGTGCTGTCATTCGCCGAGAAACCGGGCGAGCTGAGTTTGGCTCGTTTGGGGTTAGGCGGTCCGTCCAGCAAGTTCTCGGCCATTTTCACCTGCTCGTGAAAACAGCCCCGGGAGCGGGCGGCCGGGCCGGCGAGGGCCCAGGCGGGGGTCGGGGGCCCCGCCGGCTGCGAGGGAGAGGAGCGAGCGCCGGCCGCGAGCGGGCGGGCGGGCGCCGAGGGAGAGGGAGGGCGCAGGCCGGGTGGGGGAGGCGGCGGCCAAATCTCAGCCACAGCAACAGCGCCCCGCAGCGCTCACCGCCCGCCCCCGGCCGCCGCCGCCGCCGCCGCCGGCCGCGGCCCCCTCATCCCCTGCCCGCCTCCCGAGCGCGACACTCCGCGGCGAGGGCGCCCCGGCGGCCCGGCTGCCCCCCAGGGCCCGGCTGGCAGCGACGGCGCCCGGCCGAGCGGCTCAGGCAGTCCCCGGGAACATGGTGCCGCCGCCGCCGCCGCCGCCGCCGCCTCGCTCCCCCCCCCCGCGCCCCACTTAATGAATTCGCTCGCGGCCCGACGACGAGGGGGCTCCGGGCTCTGCTCCCCACCCGCGGCCCGCCGCCGCCGCCGCCGTGAGGAAAAACAATGCGCCGAGCGGGGTCGCCGCAGCCGCCGCCGCGGCCCCCCCACCCCCCGTTCCGCCGCCGCAGGCCGAGCCGAGAGGCGAGCGGGGCCGCCGGGATGGGCGCCGAGGGCTAGGCGGAGCGGGCCGGCCGGGCGGAGCGGGGTGCGCGGGCGGTTGTGGGGCCCGGGACCGGCGGGGCCGAGTAGATCGCGCTCGAAGCCCCGGTCGGGTCCGCGACAAGATGGCGGCTGTTGATTCCTCAATTAAAAAAAAAAGAAAGTTTTTTTTCTTCTCTTTCCAGAGCCTGAACGGGGAGGGGGTGGGGGCGGGGCACGCCGGTGCGTCACCCCCCCGCGGCGTCACCACGCACAGCCCCCGCCCCGCCCCCTCCACCTGCGCCGGCCGTGGCGGAAAGAGCCGAGCGTGCTCGGGCGGAAGGGCCGAAGGCGCGGCCGCTGAGCATGGGGCGGCGGGTGTCCGGGCGCCGGCCAGGCCTGCGGGACGCTGGGGCTACGGGCTGAGCCGCGGCTTTTGTTCTGACGGCGACGAGGCGGCGAGTGCCGTGGTTCCTGGCCCCAGCGGACTCCAGGAGCAGCGGCCTGGCCACAGGTCGGGCCCTGGGGCGCGGAGTCGACGCCGGCCCGGACCCGCCCGTCCCGCTGGGGCGGCGCTGCGTGTTCCCAGCTCTGCGCTTCCCTGCAGGAGACCCTGCTCGGTGGCGACCCCAGCCCAAGCCACGCCACTAGCCCTCGCCACCAGGGAAGTGGAATGGCCCCTGCGAGTTACAGACCGCCCTCGGGTCCGCCGACGAGGTGGGCCGATGGGGAAACTGAGGCAGGAGGGGGGCAGAGCAACTTCTCCAGAGTCACCAAGGCAGAAAGTGGCAGGGCCGGAATTCGGGTCCCGCCCCACCTCGTGATACTATAGAGAGTGAGGGGACCTAACGCCTGTTCCAGCCCGAGGCGGCGAGGCTGACACCCTCACCTATGAGAGCAGGGTGGCGAGCGCCAGCCTGGGTCGAGAAGGGCCCGCGCAGCGGGCTTAGGCCTGCATGCCCCGGCCGCATTCCCCGCCCAGGAAACTCGCCTCGTGCCTCGCAGGTGCCCCAGTTGGGTGCGGGTCTGGGGAGGCCCCCACGCGAGACCACAGCCCGCAGGACAGTTCCACGAACACCCAAGGTGTTCCCATCTCGGTTAGTTATCTGCCCCTCCAAACCTGCCCGGCTTCCTCGTAAAGGTATCAGCAGTAACCCTATTTCCTAAGCCAGAAACCCGTGAGTCATTGCGAACTCCTCCTCCCCGGCCAAGCGCTCCTCTCCCCACGGTCTTAACCTGGGAGACGGCTCCTCTCTCACTGTCCTGGTGGCTATGGTGGCATCTGCTAACCTAAGTGTTCTTTGCCCTCCTTTGTTGCTCTCCACGCAGCAAGAGTTAGCTTCCCGAAAAGAGAGGAAAAAATCTGTTCAAAACAACTCCGCGGCCGGGCAGGGTCGCTCATGCCTATAATCCCAGCACTTTGGGAGGCCTAGGCCGGCGGATTACCTGAGGTCAGGAGTTCGAGACCAGCCTGACCAGTATGATGAAACCCCGTCTCTACTAAAAATCCAAAAATTAGCTGGGCGTGGTGGTGCGCGCCTGTAATCCCAGCTACTCTGGAGGCTGAGACAGAAGAATCGCTTGAACCCCGGAGGCGGAGGATGCAGTGAGCAGGGATCAGCCACTGCGCTCCAGCCTGGGCAACAAGAGCGAAACTCCTTCTCAAAAACCAACAAACAAAAACAAACCAACACCCTGACACAGAAAAAGAAAACAATATTCTTTTAAAAAGAACATGTATGAAGTCTCCTAAAAACATTGTTATATGTACATATGGTGACTGTCCTTGAGTGTCAAGATCGAGTGATCGTTCTGCTTTTCTCTGTTTATCTGTACTGTTCAAAATCTTGCACTGCCACACGAACACCCCTCTTGAATCTGTCTCTTCCCCTTTCCATGGCTCAGTTCACCATCATCATCCTACACCCACTTGGCCAATAAGCATTTCTCATCATTCAGGCTTTTTTTTTTTCAAATGCTGTTCCCTGTGCTGAGAACACATATGCCTGGGAAATTCTATCTCATCCTCCAGGACCCAGTTCAAATGTCACCTACTCCAGGAAGCCCTTCTAGTCCACTCCTCGGCTCCCGTATCACTTCCGGGATCTGTGAGAGAGCACATAACACATCTTGTCCTATCTTCCCCTCCTCCACTGCCCTCGAATTAGTTCATGTTTTTACTTGTGCATCAAATCGCTCTTGAGAATCCCAAGGGCATTGAGGCTGTGCTGATCCCCTTGGCCAAACATAAAGAGATCCCCATATATTCAAGGAGTTAAAATAGCACACACTGGAAACCATAAATGGAAGTATTCAAGAAATCAATTGGTACAGGAATGGCAAGAAGTGTATCAGTGGCACAGCGCAGGCCACACCCTGTATCTGAATACCCTGGGTTTCCATCTCACCAAGGATCTGTGAGCTCCTTGGGGGAGAAGGTGGTGTCTTAGTCACCAAAACAGTGCTCTGCAAGAAGTAGGTTTGTAAAATTGAATGAATGAGTGAATGAGTGATGAGCCGTGTTTGTCAGGTGCCCTGAGTCCTAGAGGCCTTCAGGCCACTGAAAAGGGTAGGCCCCAGCCTGGTGTCTGGCCACTTACAGGCCTTAGGGCCTGCCTTGGGGCAGTGGAAACACCATGCAGCCCGCCTTGGAAAGTGTTTTACAAAGAAGCAGGCACAGGAACTTGAGCCATTCCCCCACAGGTGTGCAGCTGTGGTGCATATTTCCCTTTTTTTTTTGAGAGTGAGTTTTACTCTGTTGTCCCGGCTGGAGTACAACAGCACGATTTGCGCTCACCGCAACCTCCACCTCTGGGGTTCAAGCAATTCTCCTGCCTCAGCCTCCCAACTAGCTGGGATTACATGCACCGGCCACAACACGTGGCTAATTTTTTTGTATTTTTAGTAGAGATGGGGTTTCATCACGTTGGCCAGGCTGGTCTCTTAAGTCCTGGCCTCAGGTGATCTGCCCACCTCAGCCTCCCCAAGTGCTGGGATTACAGGCATGAGCCCAGCCATAGATTCCATTATATAGAGGAAAGGAAGGGAACCCAGTCACCAGGACTCAGAAGTAAATAACCTGGACATGGCAGGGCTGCGCCTGGAACCCAGGTCCTCACTCTCCAAACCCCTTGACTTCTGGTCTCTCCAGGCTCCACCCTCAAACATACCTGCTCTGCAGTCCCTTTTTCTCTCTCATTGTTCTCACCTATATTATTTTGATCAGTTCTGGTATTCACTGATACCTGTTTTTATTTTCCTTTCTATTTATTCTCCCTTCAGTTTGACCCAAAGAACACTGAGCTCAGACACTGATGGGGAGTAGCATGGAGGGGAGTGTGGCTCCCGCCTGCAGTCACCTGGCTGGGATCACCATCGACAAGTGAGTGCCTTAGGGATACCAGGCGGCTCTGCTATGCCTACCACGGATGGCACTTCCTACAATCCTAGAAGGAAAAATTGTCCTCATTTCACAGATGAGGAAATAAGGCTCAAAGGAGGACAAGTCACCCAGCCATGAAAGGGCTTCACTCCGGTGCACACCTAAGGCTTCCTGCTCTTTCCACAAACCTCACCTCTCCAGTCTCAGAGGCCACATTAAAAAACAACCAAGGGACCGGGCATGATGGCTCACACCTGTAATCTGAGCATTTTGGGAGGCTGAGGCAGAAGGATCACTGGAGCCCAGGAGTTCAAGACCAGCCTGGGCAACATAGTGAGACCCCCCCTCCATCTCTACAACAAAATTTTAAAAAATTAACTGGGTATGGTGGCATGCTCCTGTAGTCCCAACTACTGGGGAGGCTGAGGCAATAGGATCATCAGAGCTCAGGAGGTCGAGGCTGCGGTGAGCTGTGATCAAACCACTGCACTCCAGCCTGGACAACAGTGAGATACTGTGTCAAATAAAAAAAATAAAAAAAAGAAAAATAAGGCCGGGCACGGTGGCTCAAGCCTGTAATCCCAGCACTTTGGGAGGCCGAGGCGGGTGGATCACGAGGTCAAGAGATCGAGACCATC